TGATCAGGATGTCCCAGGCACCATTCCAACAGAGATACCTGTGCTCTGGTAGCCTGGGAGTAATAGACACAGTAGACACAGACAGAAAGGAGGTAAAGGAGATGTAAATTTATATGAAGAAAAGCTTCAGAAAATAAGAAAGCTTCTGTTTATTTATAATAGTGGAAAAACCTAAAATATCAAGCTGAAAATTCTATATGGAAAATTCTACAAAGATTAAGATTCAAAAATTGATTAAACAGGTTGCATATGCATATGTATGTATGTAAATATATAATCACTTATTAGTAAAAAAAAATAGGATAAAAGCTGAGCATTAAGACACTACAATGGCTTTATTTCCCAAAGTACCTGTCTCCCTATTCACTCTGAGCTATAGAATATGACTAACAGGATTACTGTTAAACTATACAACTGGAAGAATGAATTCTTCAGATGGCATCATTCCCTTTAAGGACAAAAGAAATAGTCTGAGAGAGAGAGAGAGAGAGAGAGAGAGAGAGAGAGAGAGAGAGAATGAATTGTCATGGACTTGTTTCAGTTTCTAAAATAGACAACAAAGCCTTTTACTCACCTAAATTAGTGATCATTCTTCATCCCAAACAAAATAGAATCAAAATGTATAAGGGCTTAAGAGAGTGTCCAGAGGTTCAGCTCACAGTCTGCAAAGGACCCCATTAAATTTCTAGCACCTACCCAGTGGCTCACACCATCCATAACTCCAGTTCCAGGTGACCCAACCTCTTCTAATTTGAGCTGGAACCAAGGACGCAGGTGGTGCACAGACACATGTGCAGGCAAAACACTCACACATATAATTAATTTTTTCAGGGTCATAATGTAGAGTAAGAAAAATAAGCAAGAATACCCACAAACAGTCCTTAAAAATTCTAGTATGGCAGGGACCCCCTCTGTCATGACAGGACTAAAAGAAGCAGAGCTTAGCCTGCAGGAAGCTGAGCCTACTTATCTGTCACTGAGTCCCTCCACTGCCCTTGTCAGCGAATGGGATGTCCCCATACTCACCTAAATGAAGAAGAGATATGACACAGACTAAAAAAATGTTAAACAAAGGAAAATTAAAATCCAGAGTGAAGTTCTAAGTTGTGTTTTGTCAGCCATGAGGTAGAGGATATTAGTGAAAACTACCGTTAACCATATGCGGAGAAGGTCATAACCTCTGTGCGAAAGGAGAAAGGAGCAGGAAGATATCAAAATAAGATGATCACAAGGTTGGCAGGCCAGAGGGAGGGGTCGTGTTAGAAACACAAAAGCATAAGGCAAAGCCTGGTTCACCAAGAGCCTTAGAAGCCAGGTAGAGGATGCAGGGATAATATTTATCCCATGCTAGAGCAGTCATTCTAGTTTTTCCTTTTTATGGAAAATAGTTTTCTTTAATTTTTTATTCATCTTACATATCAACCACAGCTCCCCCTCCCTCTGCTCCTCCTGTTCCCCCACCTCCTCCCTCATCCTCCATCTACTCCCCAGAAAGGGCAAGGCCTTCCATGGAGAAACAATGAAGCCTGGCCTATCAAGTTGAGGCAGGACCAAGCCCCACCCCACCCCACCCTGCATCAAGGCTGAACAAGGCATCCCACCATAGAGAATAGGTTCCAAAAAGCCAGTTCATGCACCAGGGATAGATCCTAGTCCTACTGCCAGTGACCCCACAAACAGACCAAGCCACACAACTGTCACCCACATGCAGAGGACCTAGTTTGCTCCCATGCAGGCTCCCCAACTGTCGATCCAGTGTCTGTGAGGTCCCGAGAGCTCAGGTCTGCTGTCTCTATGGTTTTCCCATCATGATCTTGACCCCCTTGCTCTCCCTCACTTCAACTGGACTGCCAGAGTTCGCTCCAGTGCTTGGCTGTGGGTCTCTGCATCTGCTTCCATTAGCCCCTGGATGAAGGTTCTGTGATGACAATTAGGATCGTCACCAATCTAATTACAGGAAAAGGCCAGTTCAGGACCCTCTCTGCTATTTCTAGAAGTCTTAACTGGGGTCATCTTTGTGGATTCCTGGAAATAACAGATGAAATCTCCTTGGTAAACTGGGAACTTGGGGGTGTAGAGGAGAGGGGATGAGAGATAGGTGAGTTGGGGGAGGGAGAGATGGAGAGGGAGATCAGTTAAAGAGATATCTTGATAGAGGAAGCCATTATGGGGTTATGGAAAAACCTGGTACTAGGGAAATTCCAGGAAAATAGATTCTTTTCTCACATAATATATCCTGGATACTGTTTCCCCTCCTTCTACTCCTCCCAATTCCTCCCAACTCCCCTCCCACCAGATCCGTTCCTTTTCTGCCTCATTACAATAGAACAGGCTTCTAAGAGATAACAACAGAACAGAACAAACTGAAATATATAAGATAAAACAAAACTATCACATCAAAGTCGGATAAGACAACCCAACAGAAAGAAAAACGTCCAAGTGAAAGTACAAGAATCAGAGACCCATCTTTCAAACACTCAGGAATCCCACAAAAGAAAACACTAAACTGTGGTAGGAGCCCTGCATCTGCCAGGATCAGCACGGGCATTTTGTAAAGAGGATGGCCCATTGCATGACAGTCCCGTTGAGGTCCTTGCTATATGACAAAGGTCCTGCAAGAAGATTCCGTCCTATCCCCTGTGATTTCCTGGAACAATGTCTGGTTCTGGCTGTCTCCTTTCTTGGTCTTGTTGCTGTTGCCACCTGATTTTTTTTCTGATAATTTGGGCACAATTATCAGAAATAATGAGGGAATGTAATGGGGAAATGGAGACCAATTCCCCTGGGGAATGTGAGAGAACTTGAAACAAATGGGGAACACTATGGCAATAGAGAAAAGTCCCTATGCTTCTTTCCACTCCTGCTCAGCATCCATCTATGACTACCCCAACTGCTGCAAAGGAAACTACATTGTCTGAACCCCATAAAGAACACTTAATGTGTCCCGTTGATTGTATTTTGAGAGACACTGATCCCACGAAATATTTTACGGACAGCTGGTATTAGGAACTTACTGGTACGTTGACTACGGGAAATTTGGAACCATCAGGATGCCCAGAGCAAGGCTTAAAGTCTACATTTGTACCTCAAACAGCTGACATATGATCAAAGGAAGATGGGGAAGGTGGGCTTATAATTAAACCTAGAAAACTTATTGCTATTATTCTGCACAGTGCAAACGCTGCATCAGGCCTCTTGCAAAACAGAAATGGCTCTTTTAGATTTGTTTCTTAAGACTCGATGTCTGGTGCCTTGTAACCACAAAGGACAGCCAGCCAAATTGCTTTAGCTGGTATAGAAAGACTTGGTTGCTTACCATCCTCGGGGTCTGTTTCCTGTCCAACCTGCCAGGAGATGTGGTGCTCTTGGAATATAGAATTGACGGCCTGTGACATGGAAGGGGAAAGTGGGGTAGAAGACTTGGGGAACATTGCCATGAATCTTGAAAGTTCTTGGAAACTGATATGTAAAGCCCATGCTTTGCAAGCCTAGTTGCACACAATGGTTTCACTGTTAGAAGCGAAAGGAGACAGGGGAGGAGTAGGAGGGGCTGGGGGCAGGTGAGAAGGGGGAGCTGGGAGGCGAGGAGGAAGGGGGAACAATGGTCGATATGCAAAATGAATGGAAAAATGTTATTTAAATAAAACAAAAAGGTCCTCCCTTAGAGAGACAAGAGATACCTGTGCAGCCCCATGCAGGCCCTGTGCGTGCTACAGCAGACTCTCTGAGTTCATTTGAACTCTGCTCACGTTGATTTAGAAGGCCTTGTTATCTTGCTGTCCTTTGTCCGTTCTGGCTCTTACACTCATTCCACCTCTTCTTCCTTGGAGTTCCCTAAGTCTCTATGGGAAGGATTTGATGGAGGCATTCTCCTTATGGCTGAGTGCTCCAAGATCTCTCACTCTGCATATTATTTGGCTGTGGGTCTCTGTAACTGTCCCCATCTGTTGCAGGAGGAAACTTCTCTGATGATGGTTGACCAAGGCACTAATCTATGAGTACAGCAGAATATCATTAGGAGTCATTTTATCACTATGGGTTTTTTTCTTTTGTTCTGTGTTGTTCTTTTAGACCCATAGTATTGATTCTACCCCAGGTCCCTGAGCTACCACGGTCTTTTCCCACAAACTTCATCCAAGAGACCTAAAATCCAATGGACAGATGACTATTCAACCGTCCCATTATTTTTCCATCTCTATGCAGGTGTTAAAATTAGTACATCTGACCTAACTGGGAGGAAGTCAAGTACAGAACAGAATTAAAATAGAGTAAAAACAATACAACAGCAGTACTGTGGTACAACAATCCAACAAAAATGTGAGGCAATCTTGTACACCCTGTTAGCTATTAGTAAGCAGATTCTTGCACAACATGACTATTTTAAATCAATCTTTAATAATATAGTAAAATATGGAATGTTTCTGTAATAAAGGGTTGATAATCATTTTGAAATTCACTTCAAATCTTGTTTTGATCAAATGTTCTATTAAAAATAACCATACAGCCGTCCCTTGCATATGCAGGCGATTGGTTCTAGGGTTCCTTACAGAGGTCAGCATCTGCAGGTGCTCATGTCCTATGTATGTAGTAACATATGTGCATATAGTCAATCCACATACTTTAACACTTGTCTGCCTTGCTGGTAAGACCCAACACCTCCCCTAAATAGACTTTTGACTACGGTGTTTAGGGAGTAATGACAAGAAAAAAAATCTCTGTATGTTCAGTAGAAATGTATATTTTAAGAAGATTTCCCATCTGCTGTTGTTTAAATATGTGGGTGTGTAGTGTTCTGAAATGGAGAAAAATAGTTATATCATATATAATTAAAATAGAATGTGTATGCTAAGATAGTATAAGGTAGAACAGGAGCAGTTAAAGTGATGGCCCAAAAATATGTCAATGCTAAAATGAAGGGGGGTGGGACACTGACATAGTAATGAACCTTGGCTTTGTTGCTCAGAAGTACACTAAAATAATTTTTCTTAATTCAAGAGACCATGATGGTAAAAAAAATTGCAGTGATTGGGGCTGGAGTCAGCGGACTGGGCGCCATTAAGAGCTGTTTGGAGGCGGAACTAGAACCTACGTGTTTTGAAAAGAGCAGTGACATAGGAGGACTGTGGAAATATGAGGTAATTTTAGAAATAGTTTCAGAACATGACATCATCAATGTGTATGAGAGTTGTTTCTCTTCAACTAAGAAATAAAACTGATAACATAAATTATTTCTTAAGTGTGTTTTCCAAATTAGTGATAAACATTTAAATAAATTTGAGATTCCTTGTGGCACAAGCACAATCCTACTCAGCTTCATGCCCCTGGCAACCCCACATAAAACACTTAGGATATTGATATGCAAATTTTGCATCGGAGTGCTGAAACTCCAAGAGCATGCAAAAGTTATTCTTCCTCTAGCAAACTTACTATCAGTTGTGGTCCATATCGCAAAACCACCCTATGTGTTCTTTGTGCTGTTTGTTACTTACTGGGAAAACATGTCTCTACCATGAAAGGTGTGCTTTCTTACAAACAGAATCATGTTTAATAACTTAAAGAAGTGGGTCTATTCCATAGTGGCTCCAGAAGTTAGAAGGATGGAAGGGAAATCTCCACTTCAATGAATCTTAGTGAAGCATAATACAGGATCATTGAAAACAGTTCTTATGAACACACCACAGTTATCTTATTACTGCCATTATCATTTTTTTTTATATTTTAACATACCTCATAGCTGCATTACTGTTTTAATATACCTCATAGCTGTATGACTGTTTTGTTGTTGTTGTTGTTGTTCCAAAGCAGATAAACATTTTATTCTCTACCAGACATATTCTCTTAAACAAATCCCTTCCAATGTGAGGCAGATTTTGTCCACTGGGAGTCTCCTTACCAAACCTTTCTTGAGCTATTTTTGTCTCAGTTTGTGCACATCCTTGGAGCCTGCTGTTTTCTGTTGTAAAATAATTATTGCTACCACAGAGTCACTCGCTATAAGTAGCATGAAACTAGAGAACCCTCATCAGGAGATGAGACTAACTCCCTCATCCTGCTGAATGACTGTCATAACACCTGAAAAATCAAATCATGACTTTTCAAAGAAAAACATACCAAACACCACACTTCTGGTCACCCCAGACACATTCTGGAAGCCAAGGGTTGGTGTGTTTCCTTTAGGAGATACCAGAAAATGGAAGGCTTGGGATATACAAATCTTTGACCTGCAATACGTCCAAGGAGATGACAGCCTTCAGTGACTACCCCATCCCCGACCATTACCCCAACTACATGCACAACTCCAAGATGATGGAGTATCTCAGGATGTACGCCAAGCACTTCGGGCTCATGAAACACATCCAGTTCCAGGTAAGACGTGAAACCTGCCCACCACATGCTCATTGGTCGAGGCAGAGTCTGCCCTGCCAGAGCCAGCTACCCCGCCAGATGAGCACCATCCCATCTGGAACCTGAATTCCAATTTTTGGTTAATTTTGTAAAGTAAGAATAAAGGTCATAGGAAATAAAACCCAATGCACGTTGTGCTCTAAGAAGTCATACCCTTTTGGAAATGGACATTGTAGGAACCCTATGTGTACACATCTCCTAATCACCCAGGAGCCGTGCATAGAGCTACTTTATTTACCTACTTAAACATAAAATTCTAAAGGAGGGGAAAGAAGCAAAAGTGGATAAAAATGTCCTAGAACTCGGGCTTTGCTCCTTGTTTCCTAGACAAAGGTGTGCACAGTGAGGAAGCGCCCTGATTTTTCAGCCTCTGGCCAGTGGGACGTTGTGGTGGAAGCTGATGGGGTGCAGAAAACTTACGTCTTTGATGGGATCATGGTCTGCAGTGGTCACTACACTGAGAAGCATCTTCCTCTACAGGAGTTTACAGGTATTCCTCTGTTGTGTGTGTGAGAAGACTCTTAGGGCTCTATTTCTTTTAAATTAATTAATTTTTGCTTCCTAATTACAGTTTCCCCTTTCTTCCTCCTCTCCCAGTCCCTCCCTCCATGTCTCCTTGGCAATAGCCCCACCCATCCACCCCCACCGCAACACCATCCACTCCTCCACTTCTATTCAGAAAAGAGTTGATATCCTTCCATGGATATCAGCCAAACATGCCATATCAAGTTTCAGTAAGACTAGGCACCGCCCCACAAACTAAGGCTGGACAGATCAACCCCGTATGAGGGTGAGAAGTAGGGTCCCAAAAGCTGGCAAAAGAGTCAGCCCTTGTTCCAACTGTAGGAGTCACACAAAAAGACCAAGTTACACAACAGTCACATATACGCAGAGGGCATAGAACAGTCCCATGCATGCTCCCTGGTTGTCAGTTCAGTCTCTGTGAGCCCCTGTGAGCCCCTATGAGCTCAGGTTAGTTGATTTTGTGGGTTTTCTTGTTGACCTCTCTGGCTCCTACAATCCTTCCTCCCTCTCGGGCACAGGATTCCCTGAGGTCTGTCTAATGTTTGGCATCTGTTTCCATCAGTTGCTGGCTGATGTCTTTCTGACAACCATTAGGCTAGACACCAATCTATGAGTATGGCAGAATATTGTTAGGCATCATTACATCAACATATTTGGGCAGTCATATTTGGTCCTACGCTAGGTCTCAGGCTATCCAGTCTCTGGGTCCTGGTGCTTCAGACAGTGTCAGGGATGGGCTTACTCTGGTGGCATAGGTCTCACTCTGGGCCAGTCATTGGTTGGCCACTCCTAAAATCTCTGTATCACCCTTACCCCAGCGTGTCCCATAGGCAGGACAGACTGTAGATTGAAAGTTATGTGACTGGGTTGGTGCCCCAGTCCCTCCACTGGAAGCCTTGCCTGGTCACATGAGATGTCCAGTTCAGGCTACATATCCCTTATGGCTAGGAGTCTTAGCTTGTATATCCTTGTATACAAGGTCACCCTTGTAGATCCTGGGAGTTTCCCTTGCACTGGGTTTCTACCTCACCCCGAAATGCTCCCCTTTGCCAGTCATCTCTTTCTGTGCTCTCAATGCCTATCCTACATAGCCATTGGACACAGGTGTTTATACAGACGGGTACAAGAGAGGGTGCCGTAAGTTCATAGAACAGTCAGGGAAGGGCTAGCAATAGAAGTGAAGATTGAACTGGAAACCAGAGTTCCTCGGACAAACAAGGGCTGAAAGAGACTTTTACGGAAGAGGAAACAGTGTGTAAAAAGAAGCTGATGGGGATAACATGGGAAGAGCTCAGGGATTAGGGCCCATTTTAAGTGCCTACATTGAAAGAAGCGTGTAAGAGTCAATGGAAAAGCATTACGGTGTGTGTGTGTGTGTGTGTGTGTGTGTGTGTGTGTGTGTGTGCACGCGTGCGCTCACGCATGCATGTGTGCACATGCATGTAGGAAAAGCAAGTATATAATCAAGTTTGCACTGTGTAAAGGTCAGTTTACATTAATTGATAGGGGAAGATGGTTGAGTCACGAGCATCAATGAGAAAGAGTTTAAACTGTCCATTTAAGAGACGATGATGATGAAGACTCAATTAAAACAATGGAAGTAGGATTCAGAGGAGAATAAAAATTTGGAGATATTTTAGAAGCCTTTGGCACACTTAATGACTGACAGATCATGCATCATAGAACTTTATAATTTTTGGCAATTGTATTTTTGAAATATAATTCTTTTTCAGAAAGCTTTGAAACTTCTAATATCCCAGGCTTGTAGTGTTAAAAAGAGTGGTCACTGGCCAAATGTCACTGATGACCACTTGATATGTGAAGGACACAAAATTAAGATGTTTCCTCTGCAAACTAATCACCGCACTTAGAAAACACAGTAGGAGCATATAAATAATCACATTAGTGACCTTCCATTAACTATATATTAGCTTCTCAGAGTATCCTGAGTTACATAAAATAGGAAGTAAGAATTGCTATCATTCTCATCACTTCTGGGCTTCTGGGAAGCCTAAAACTGTGTATGTGGTTGCCATTCGATTGCTTTTGAATGACATTCATGTATCCTGCTAAACATCTTTACAAGTTTGCCAAAAAGCTATAAAAAGTGAAGAAAAAGTCTCATATCACTGAATAGAAATTGAGAAAAATACAACAACATTAGAAGGTGGCAAAGAGTTGACACACTGAATACATCATAAATGGCTATAATTTTATTGACTACTTTTTAAAATGTGCTCTGGTTTTGGTTTTGGCCGTATAGTCGCTGCTGTTGAATGCTTTCTTTCTTAGTGGGGAATATTCTGTAATAGTGGCACAAGGTCCAAGTACAAAGAAGAGATTTAAGTAACGTGAACTTCAAGTTCAGGAATGAAATTTACCGACCAGTGTTTTCCAGTTCGGCCTGTGACTTGAGGAATCCGGCTCCTTTCTTCACAGGAATCACCCAGTTCCAAGGCCGCTGTCTCCACACCTGGGAATACAAGCACCCAGGCAACTTTGAGGGGAAGAGAGTGGTCGTGGTCGGCATTGGGAATTCTGGAGCAGATGTGGCAAGCGAGATCAGTCGCGTCGCTGAACAGGTTTGGCGTCGATTCTGCTCTTGGGTGTAACCTTGATAGCTGTAGAGAATGTGTGAGCCTAGGCTTTCTCCGGCTTTAGCAGTGATGTTCCCATTTGAACTACAAGGGCGTGCTTTTCTGGGGACTAAATATGCATAAGAGAAAAAAGAATTTCAAAGTGTCACTACTCCGAGACCATAATACACTGGAGTCATGGAAGTAACAATCTAACTAGAGTCAGGTAGCTTAGAACTAACTACAGGTAGCTACACAGGAAATTTCAAAGTGAAATGAATTTTACAGAAGACACTGTTCTCATATTGGAAATGAAGTTTAAAGAGCAAAGAATATACACAAATCTCAGCATTTAAAATATATTTTTTTAAAGATTTATTTACTAATTATGTATACAGTATTCTGTCTGCATGTATGTCGCAGGCCAGAAGAGGGCATCAGACCCCATTACAGATGGTTGTGAGCCACCATGTGGTTGCTGGGAATTGAACTCAAGACCTTTGGAAGAACAGACAATGCTCTTAACCTCTGAGCCATCTCTCCAGCCTTGAAATATATTCTTGATGTGTGTGTGTGAAGTTGTTAAAAAAAAAAAAGGGGGAAAAATTCCATGGACTCCACTGAACTACAAACAAATAAAAAGTAGGGGAAGAGGAACAGGCGTTCTGTAGTGAGTGTTGCTGAGTATGGAATTCTCAATTAACTTCCTTATTTTGATTCGTACTTTATCGAAAAAATACAAGATTTTCAATACTGAACACTTCTTATAAAATAAGTGACTCACGTCATGATTCTGGGGCACACAAGCCACAGATCTCCATGACAACGGCATCGCTCTAATGATTATAGCATCAATAAAAAAAAACAACTTCTTTTCAATGTTTTGTTAAGTCACGCAAAATAGGACAAACTACTTCTCAAAATGTACCTTCCCTTCTCTTTCATTGCAAACATTTTGTTTATAATTTTCCAGTTGTGAAAGTGAGAAATCTCCAGTGTGGATTTCTGTACCTGACAGGTCTCGATCCTAGATGCCACATTCCCATGTTTCTCCCTCACTTTGAAAGTTCACCTGAAAGAACTTACATGGGATCTGAATACAAACACTCAACTTAATAACCTACTGTGTTGTGGGGCTTTCCCATATTTTGGAACTTCAGATACTCCAGACATCTGACATAGCTGGAGCAAATCACAGGGAAAGAAGGCTCATGACATACGCTAAATTAACTGAAATGACTTCCAGTAATTGGATCTCTTTATAAAATAAAATAGGAGCAGCAAAAAGAAGCTGGCTAGGTGGACAAGGCAATATGAGGAGTTAATTCCATTCCCTTGACAGCTAAAAAAAGAAAGAAAAACACTCCAAAGATCTGAGACCAGAGTGATTAACAGCTAAATACTTACTAGGTAACCACTCCTCTCTTGAAGGTTTTCCTCAGCACAAGACGAGGGGCGTGGATATGGAACCGTGTTTGGGATAACGGGAATCCTATGGATGCCTCGCTCTTCACTCGTTATAACAGAGCTGTACAGAAGATCTCCCCCACATTCCTGATCAACAGACAGATAGAGAACAAGTTAAACTTGAGGTTTAACCATGCCAATTATGGACTGAAGCCTCAGCACAGGTAACGTTTGGAATTTTAAGCAGACAATATCTTTAAGCTATTGGACTAGTCAACTAAGTCTCTAAGTACATGAAGGGGACAAGTGAAATCATTAATTCCTCATGGCATTTGTTTTTATGGCAAATGTCCAAATTATTTCCTTCCTACTGAGGGTTCTTTGCTTTCCTACCAAGGTCCATGAAAAGTTGTGCAGAGTGGGGAAGTAGAGACTTTAAAACTTGTCTTACTTGAAATTCGTAAAGGGTCGCTTTGTCACCTTCTCCTGCTTTCTTGCCATCGTCTGTCGACTACTTCATGTTCACTCTCTAAATTAAAAGCTCTGATTCCATGCTTACCTTCAAAGCCATCATCAGCCAGCACAATTCATTATCCACAGACAACAGCCTCGTGGCCACCGATCTCTTCACCTGACCTGTCTTTCTGTCCTGGCCCTTTTGCCTGACTCCTAGCCTCGGTCACCCTAGTCCCAACCCCTGCAATGTTTATAGACATCTTTCCAAAACTCATTCTGTACTTGAGAATTCTTAGCTTTTTTTCTCATTTCATTCAACACTAGCCAGTTCTCAGGCCCAATCTTATCCTCCATCCCATGTCTTCCTTCTCTAGTTCTTCCAAGTTTATGGCGACTTTTCCTCTATTTTTTTTCTTCTTTCTTCCAAAAGACATCTAAGACTTAATGTTGCTGTGTGTTCACTTTCAGTCCTATTTTCTTTTCATCCTAAGTAGCTCCCTCTACTGAAGTTTCAGATCCCATAGCTGGGTAAGGGCTCCTGCTCCCAACCCTGATGGCCCAAATTTCATCCTCAGAATCCACATGATGGAAAGAGAGAACTGACTCTCACAAGTTACTCTCTGACCTCTGTAAGCAGAGACTGATTGTTCATTTCCCAGCCACTCAGACCTGAAAAAATCACACAGAAACTGTATGAATTACAACACTGCTTGACCAATAGCTTAGGCATATTCCTGGCTACCTCATATCTTAAATTAACCCATTTCTGTTAATCTTTGCATTGTCACGAGGCTTCGGCTTACCTGTAAAGGTTCTGGGTGTCTTTCCCTTTCAACAGCTACATAGCATCTCCCTGACTCAGCCTACTCTCTCTATATGTCTCTGTTCAGATTTCCTGCTTGGTCTTGCTCTGCTAAGTCATTGGTCAAAACAGTTTTATTCATTAACCAATGTTAATAAAACATATTCACAGCCTACAGAGGGGAATTCCACATCAGACCTCTTCACATGTACTGTGGCACACTTGATGTGCACACATCCACATAAGTAAATAAATGCAAATTTTTTAAATCCCAGGAAAAAGAAAATAAAAGTTTAAATTAATAAAAACAGAAAATCATTATTAAGAGATACCTAGAAGAAATCTTGCATAGTTTTTATCCGAACTGAGGTCATAATATGACTACAGGTTTCTTTTTATAAATAAAGTATCTACAATCTATGAAATATGTTTAATAATATTACTTTTGTGTCAGTGTACCCTGGGACTGTGATTCCCTACAGCTAAGTCATAGCTCAAACCTTAAAATGAAATTTACGAAAGGTCTCAGTGTCACTGACCACAAACATTCTCATTGAAGATTCATTCTTTAGGTCTTTAAAATGATTAGCAACTGGGGCCAGCAGGATAGTTCAGCAAATAAAGACACTTGCCACCAAGACTGACAATCTGGACCTGAAACCCACATGGTCGAAGGAGAAAATCAACTTCCACATGTTGTCCTCTGACCTCTACATCCTCACATGCACACACACATGAATAAGTAAATAAATATAATTAATCAATAAAAGCAAGGAAATATTAATGACTAATTAATGCCAACCTAGTTTACATAGTATCAAGAATAAATAAACACATCAAAATTAACATACTTTGTAGTGTACACCTTTAGTTCAATCACTTGGGAGGCAGAGACAAGCAGAACTCTGTGATATCTGTGAGTACAAGAGCAACCTGAGCTACAAAGTGAGTTCCAGGTCAGTCAGGAATGCATAATAAATTTCTGTCTCGGTAAACAATTAACACATTTTATTCTCTGTAAAAATATTGCTATCTAAAGGTAATTTGTCTGCACTAGCAAATCTGATATGGTGTTGCATCATTATTAGTGTTCTACCATTAGAAAAGTGAGATCAAAGTGTTTTATGGTTTGCCCAAGGTTTCCCAGTGGGTAAGAGACTGAGCAAGTATTGAGGTTCAGTTCTGAATCAGAAAATTAAGTCTTTACTAATGAAATACATTGCCTTCTGAGGATGCTGAAAAGCAGAATAAAAATGGTTTAAGCTATGCAACCATTTCCAGAGCTTTTGCCTATACCACATTTTAATTAAGAAGTTGTATATTCATCTCTCAATACACAGAATTCTTGACCACCGAACGGTTCTAAGTGATGACCTGCCAAATCGCATCATTACTGGGAGAGTGCAGATAAAACCAAACGTGAAAGAGTTCACCTCAACATCGGTCATCTTTGAGGATGGAACTGAGGAGAGCATAGATGTTGTCATCTTTGCCACGGGCTACATTTTGTCCTTCCCTTTCTTGCACGACGAACCGACAGTCCTGGACAGCCAGTACTCCATGTTTAAATTTGTCTTCCCTCCTGGGCTAGAGAAGCCAACTCTAGCTTTCATTGGCATCGTCCAGCCAGCTGGTGCCATCATCCCTACATCAGAGCTCCAAAGCCGATGGACTGTGCAAGTGTTCACCGGTATGTCCTGATCTCCCATGACTACAGTATGTTCCAAATGCTCTGTGACTTAAGAGTCACTCAGCGGTCTTCTATTTCGTTGATCTCTCTCATTATATAAAATTATCTGAAATTTGACCATGAAAAATAAACTACTATAGCCAGGCAGTAATGGTGCACACCTTCAATCTTAGCAGTCAGGAGGCAGAGGCAGATGGATCCCTGTGAGTTTTAAGCCAGCCTGGTCTACAGAGTGAGTTTCAGGACAACCAGAGATACACAGAGAAACCCTGTCTTGAGGAACCAATAAATACACAAACAAATAAATAAATGAAATGACTTTGGGTTCTTCTGAAGGTTTATATTTCATTTTTAAGAAAATTCTACTAAAAATGAAAACACCCAAACAGTAAAAATGACAAAAGCAAAAGAATAATTGTAATGAGGTTATATTTTAATGCAACTGTCTATTCATTTACTGCTTTTCAGCAGAAAACCAACTTAGGGCGAGGTTTACAGAAACATACATTGACTACGGTCAGAAATCAAACAAGGAACAAACCACATAGGACACATCTCAGAAGTGCAGTGAAGCCATTTTATCTTCTTCCTTTGCGCGAATAGAATAGTAGATTATGAGAATATTTGGGACAGGAAAGTTCAAGCAGATAGTGGAGTGATGCGGGGGAGGAAAAGGTGGATGGGGAAAGGGTTGGCCGAAACGACGTGTGCATGAATAAGCTAAATAGGAGCCTATGATCTGCAACACAAGAAAAAGTATAGTAAGGTGGCAGTAGAGCATGGAAGAACAGGAGGAGGAATGCTGGGAGATGTGCCCTGTGTGGTGTGTGCCTTCTGTCTCTCACAATCGTGTGCAATGAACCCTCATTTTACTGCCATTTTCTTCACTTAATATATAGCACTCCATACTCTTTTCTACTTGATATATGTATACGGACATATGGACTTACATATTTATAGCATTTTTGTATTAATGGCCACTTAGAATTATTATAGACAGTAATATCTGGACAAGCCTGTATGTGTATTTTATTGAGTGTGAGTCACCTTTCCATTTGGTATATTTGTAGGAGAATAATTGATGTTTCACAGGGTGTGCATGTGTGTCCGGCAGTGACTGAAAGTCCCACATGGCATTTCAATCCTCCAGCTCTGCCCCTTTCACGCTCTGTATGCTTGTGTTTGAAATGTATTTTGAAATATTGGCGGGTACTTGTGCATAGGCCACATTTTTGCGGTCGGTGAAGCACCAAGCAGATAGTTTATAAGCAGCATGCCTACTACTCTTTGTCCTGCCTCCCTAGTGTTATTTAACATTCTGTTTGCTGAATCTTCCTTGTCCCTAACACATTTACACATACAAAATTTCCATCTGCAATTACTTGTTCTCCTTTCAAAATGTAGTTATTGCTGCTGGAGATATTTTCCGTCAGTGTATACGTTCAGGAATGCACTGTGAAAACTAAGAGATGTCCTTAACTCGAAAGACAGAAAAATTGCATTTGGGATGTAAGCTCAATGATAAGCAACATTCAGATAAGAGAAACTTTGAGTCAGATTCCAGCATAGCTTGGACATCTTTGGAAGATTACAAGGCATGTTAAGGGTCCTTCATAGTATTCAGGGATGTTAAGTGTACATTTAAATTAAGAAAAGTTTAATCATCGATTTATCTTAAAGCGAAAGCGGACCTCCCTAACTGACATCCTGGGCGTTATGGTGGAGAGAAAATTCTCTTCCTTTGAAATTCTTTACACATAAGACTTTGATTAGAAATTGTATAGAGGCCTGATGATTCTATTCTGTTTCTAAATCATTTTTTTCTTTATTTGTATGTCTCAATCCTCCTGTCAATATCTTGTTTTCTCAGGACTGAAAAAGTTGCCCTCAAAGAAAGACATGATGGCTGACATCACCAGAAAGAGACGGAAAATGACCAAAGAGTAAGGAACCTAATTTTTTGTTAAAATAGACAAAACCTATTCAGGGGGTGATATATGATTTTTTTTTTTATAGTTTGTACCTACATGAGCCCTAACAAGATAATCTTAGTTCAGTGGGATCATGTTCGGGTTTTTTTAAACATGGGTCTGATTGTGAAATGTAAATCAGATGTGATGTATTAAATAACCACAGAACACTGTGTCTGCATGATGAGGAGAACGCAATTCTTATTTCCCACTATGGAAAAAAGAAGAGGTTCAAAAGAACCCTAAACCTAGACCAACCAGATATGCCGCTTCTCAGTGCTTACCCAAAGACCCCAGGCCCACAGACCACAGAGTCAAACTGCACAGCATATTTATTGAATCCCTAGTCACAGTAGCTAGGTTAGGGAAAAAACGCCGGTGTCCAGGGGGGTAGCAGAAATGTGCATTATAAGCGCAATGGAGTTTTTAGCCTTAAACACGAATAAGTTATATCATTGGCAAGAATATAGACGAATAAAGTGAAGGGCGGCCATATGCTCAAAGTGCTCTGGCTGCAGGAAAACGCACTTAGGTAACCCTGGATAATTTTAAAGAAATTAAAATGACAGAACAAAAGAAGGAGGGTTCATGAGATCTGGAAGATGGCATTTTGCGGCCTTTCTCTTCATCTTCTGGTTTCTCATTCTTTCCTCCCCCTCTCCCTTGATATTCTCCTAACCTTGGAGGGGATAACACAAATGCCCTGTTTAGGGCAGAGCACTGAGCCTCGAGTGGTTCTCAGCGCCACGCGCGCGTCTCTGAATTCATCACCGCTCCTTACAGAGAGAAACTGTCCAATCAAGGCTGAGAGCAGCAGCCTTTGTTTACGGCGGAAACGTAAATGTTTAGAAGGCAGTTTGGAGTCACGCAAATTTAACTACACAATAACGCGTTCTCTCCCGCTATCTTAAAGCTCTTTAGTCATGGGTGTTTTACCGGGTTTATAGCAGGAGGCATGAATGTCTTCCTGTGAAGATCCAATCAGGGGGTCACTGGTCACCCCCCCCACCCCCTATCCCCCCACCCCCCCATTCCCCCCACCCCCCACCCCGCAAGTCTTGCCGCTATTAGGCCACACAGCTCGCCTGGCAGGTAAATGTTGACATTCCCTAAGGTTCACAGTTGGGTAAGACCAGTGACCATTGTTCTCCCCTGAATTTGGTAATAAATGCTTTAGTACTACTTTCCTTAGCCTTATTTTACATTTTTTTCTAACTTACTTGGCTACTTTCATTTGCTTTTCATTATATTTATGTTAAATGATACAAATTTATCTCCTCGAAACATTTTGAAAAGTTTTGATATTTTTTTAAAATTGTGATACTTTCTAGTTTTCATCTCTTTTACCCAAGTATGATTTAACAGAGTGGTTTCTTGTTTGGTTTGGAGATAGCGACTCATTGTAGAGCCTCAGCTAGCTTTGAACTCCCTGTGTAGCCCAGGCTGAACTTGAACTCGTGGTGATTCTCTTTCCTCAGCCTCCCCAGTCCTGCAACTACAAGTGTGTGCCGCTGTGCCTGCTTGCAGACGGGCTTTTAATCGTCAAGTCTTCGGCCCTCTGAAAACAGTAACTCATGACTATCTAGGAATATTCGAAGGAAGAATTTGTGCGCAGAATCAGTATAGGGAGAAGATAATTTTTGTAGCCTGGATACTTGAAGTGACCAATGGAGTTTCACACACTGTGACTTATATATTCTGTGTTAATTTGATTCATACCATGGAACTGGATTCTGTGACTAGGAAGGGAATAAACTCATTCAGCATTTTCTTTTTATGTATGGCAGTTGCTCTCCTGGGCACTTGGGAACTTAAAAACCATCAGGGATTTTACATCAGGTGTTGAGAGTCCATAGTATGCTAAGGGAGTGGAGGCCAATGTGCGAAGTTAAGATTTAATAAGTGTAAAATAGTGAAATCAACAAGCCAATAAAAGCAAATTCCACTGAAAAGTCAGGGAACAGCCCTGTGACTGAAACCTGATGAGTCTTATGTTTCTGTTCTCACCTCAGCTTTAGGAAAAGCCTCAAAGACTCTCGCCATGTTCAGTTCATCGACTACATGGATGAAATTGCTTCGGAGTTAGGGGTCAAACCCAACCTGCTCTCTCTCTTCCTCTGGGATACAAAGCTGGCCAAGGAGATTTTCTGCGGTCCCTGCACCTCCTACCAGTACCGTCTCCAGGGGCCAGGGAAATGGGCTGGGGCTCGGGCAGCCATCCTCACTCAAAGAGAAAGAATGCTCAAACCCCTAAGAACCCGGGTTCTCAAACACTCTCAGGCCTCCCTCTCTCGTCTTTTCTGGGTCAAAAGTATCTGCATTGTCTTCTTTTTCTTTGTTTCCATGTTAGCTGTCGTGCACATCACAAGTCGTTAACCTCATATTGACATAGATATTTATGAAGCTAGACAGTAAACTATTGTTATTTAAACTGTATATCATAGAATCTATTGAAATAATGGAGAAACATGTTTATTAGACTAATTCACAAATGAATTTTTAAATGCAGAACAAGATTATTTCAATAATGACTTCATGAGGGGAGGTTTGAAAAGATGCAGATATTACCATTTCATTCCAAAAGTACTTTGAGAAATTTATCTATAACATGACCATGAATAATAATTAAAAGTGAGATGAATTTGATTTAATAAAAGATCAGAGAAACTATTTAACCGGGAGTAAACCTTACTTAACAAAAAAACAGGACTAACCCTTATTTAATAAAAGAGCAGACTATGTAACCAGGAATAAACCTTAAAAGTTCATCTTATGATCTCAAAACATCTTCCCCAGTCTGACCCCCAGAAAACCATAGCTGTATCGAGCTGTGTTTGGTTGGATGGTTGATTGTTAGTTTTAAGATGGGATTTCAATGTGTATGTAGTCTGGAATGGCCTCATATCCATGCATTTTACTACAATGTGTGGGGATTATAAGCCAGTGCCAGGCACTGGACCCTCTTGACAAAGAATGTTCAGTAGAAAAATATGGAATTCATCAATTCATCACGTAATCAAACTGCTCTACTTGCAAACGTGCTGCAAATCAACATGCGGCGCTGCAGCTCCTGGTTTGGTGCACTAGAAAGGCTGGCATCGCTGTCTAGCATTGCTGCCAAAGGCTGGGCTTGAGTGAAACTGAAGGAGAACCTGACAATGAAGAAAGGCCAGCGTTCCCAATACATCTTAGCTCCATTCCAAAGGAAAGCTGAACTGCAGGGCTATAATGATCAGATGAAAGTATCAGAACCCTGAATGATGATTCTAATACCAATGAGGAGATTTTAAGATATACTATTATATGATCTTATTAAATTACTGATAATATTGTATGGTATAATAATATTAAGTTATGCAGCAGAATATTCTTATTTCTAAGAGGTAGGCAAAAGTGGGAGTTAAGTACCGTGATATGTACATTTTATTTGCAATAGACGTACAAGTTTATCTGCATGTGAGAGAACAGGGACAGAGCAAGGGACACAGAAGTAACATGCAAGGGGCGGAACTTCCAAGACTTGTGATTCTGGTTCAAAGCTGTACAGCTGTTCATAGCTGTAATCTTTCAGCCCTTTTGTAGACTTAAGAAATTGATAATAAAAATAATAATTTAAAAAAAACTTATATTCTGCAATGATTTATGTACTAAAATGAGGAAGAGGAGTCTATGGGAAATTCTTCTAATCAGTGACCACACACGGTAGTGAAAATACCTCCCATGACAACCTTGGTCTTGATGCTTCGGAACACGAACATTGCAGAAGACCATTCTCAATGGAACAGTTCCCCATCATTTATTAGTCCTTTTGTTGTGTAGCTATTTCCTGCACACTGAAAAATTCCTTCCTAAAGGGGGGGGACGCTGCAGAAGAACATGGAAGATGATGAAACTTGCAAGATTTAGGAAGCTCTCCTGCAAAGAATGGCACTCACCAGGCCCTGCCCCCTGGCTAGAAAGGCCACAAACAATAGCTTTACAAAGGAAACTCCAATGGGAATGCTTACAAGCTGGGCAGAAAGTTCCGGGGACGCATCAGCAGTACTAGGATAGACTTTGGTTTGGTGAAGCCTCAAACGTATCTCAGATTCAGGACTGGTAGAACTTCCTGGTACCTGGCTTGTGGCAGTGGGGGAAAGGACTGCATAAGGGATTGTCAAGTTCTGTTTACATCCAATTCTGTCATCGAATTCACACTGAGAACCAGAGAAGTGTCTGCTCTGACTTCCTTCTTGCCTGTGTTTCATTATCAATGCCTTCAGTTAAGAATTTCAAGGCAATAATCTTGAAGTCGCATATACCTTTTGCAACAAATCATTTTACTGAGCTACAGTAATCTAATCCAGCCTAGGTATGCACTAAGGGTATAACTCTATCCCAGCCTAGGTATACACTGAGAAAAAACTGAACGGAGAATGTTCAGCCAAACATCATTTCTTAGAACCACAACAAATTGTTTCTGCCTTGGACCTTGACACAGGACCTGTGTCAACATCACAACATATATTAAGTAAATTGAAACATAATGCATTGCTTACTCTTAGATTCAGGACAAAACTTTATTGCAAGGCAATACTGTCTCCTTCCCCTCCATGAACAGCCTTACTCATTTGCATAAACAGAGTCTGCACATTTGTTCGCTGACTGCCCAGACCCAAATAATCACGCAAAAACTTTATTAATTTACAGCACTCTTTTGCCAAAGTCTCAGGTACAGTTCTAACTAACACCTACATCTTAAATTAACCATTTTTATTAGTCTATATATTGCCACATAGCTATGGTGTTACCTCATTTTCTACATGTCTTGTTTCCTCAGTGATTGGCTGGCATCCGATTCTCTGCTTTTCCTCTTCGCAGAATTCTCCTAGTCTGGTTGCCCCAGAGATCCTTCCTGTCTGGCTATTAGCCAATCAACATTTTATTAAACTAATAAGAGTGACAAATCTTTACAGTGTACAAAAACATTATCCCACAGCACATTGGCCCCTTCTTTGAAGATCAGAAACCTGGAATACATCTAGACCATACTTAAGGCCAATCCCAACATCAAATTACAGATAATCTTCCATTCTAAGCTGTACTAATTGGAACTTGCCAGAAGCTCTTTCTTGCTCTCCTCTGTCCTGCTTTCTCTAGTCAGCAGCAGTCACTAAGAAATGGCACTTGCAGGTGCAGCACGACCCAGACCCTCATCCTCTTCTGAAGGGAATGACATGCACTAAGCCTTATTGTCATCTTTGGGAGTGTTCACAGTGTGATGCTTCTGTCTCTGGCCTGCTCTAAATTTTGGTCATTTTGTAACATATCATTACAAGAATTGTATATCTGCATAAAGAGTAACATAGTTAAAATACTTTGTCAACACTTTCCTTAATAGCCACTCATTTAACTTTTCAATATATTTTCCCCCAGCAAATTTACCAACTTTTGTAGCATAAAATAATATGCAGCTGATTCCTACCTTTATGTGACTAAATTTAGTCATTTCTCAACAAGAGTTCACCATCTTCCTTTCTCAGCCACCAGAAGCACCGCCTTCCAGGACCCCTGTAATCTCTGCGGAGCATCTTTGTCACGAGGCATGTCTGTATTGTTGCCAAGAGAATTCCTTAAAGATACACATTGAACTTATTTCAGATTTTCACCAAGAAAAGAAAACTCAACGTTGACTTTTCAAATGTCTGGGAATTGTCACTTAAAGAAATGTACTAATCCCATGTCATCTAAGAAGACAAAATTAGGGTTTATAAGAGAAGATTCTAGAGAAATAGAGCTCTGCTCTGAGCCTTGAAGAGCATCCCAGTGATTGGAGCGTCCATAATCAAATAGGTTGGCTCCAGAAGCTGTGCAATCCCAGGTCCTAGAGGGCTTCCCGAGAGGGTGAGCAATTACCACACAGGTGATGGGAGATCCTGATGGAGGATGTAACCTGGAACAGTAATCAAACAGTGTGATTGAGTATTTTACATTCATATCCCCCGTGATTTGGGGGTGGAGAGGCTACATGAAGGAATAAGATAAAAAGTGTAAGTTCCCAGTGAGTAAAAGGAAATAAAAACTGAAATTAAGAGCTACAAGAGGAAAACGTTGAGGAAAAAAAGCTATGCTCAGTACAAAGCAGGACAAATGAGGCAAAAATAAATCGGAACGTGTTAGCAATTTTTCTTTTCCTCTTTTATTGAAACTAGGTTTTTTCTCACATAATATATCCTGATTACAGTTTCCACTCCCCATACTCCTTCTGGTTTCTCCCCCATCTGCCCCCTCCTCAGGATCCACTTCCTTTCTGCCTCATTAGAAAAGAACAGGCTTCTAACAGACAACAATCAAACATGATAAAATAAAACACAATAAGAAAAAATTTAAAAAAAAATCACATCAAATTTGGACAAGGCAAACCAGTAGAAGGAAAAGAGCCCCAAGAGCAGGCTCAAAAACCAGAGACCCACTCATTCAGACATTCAGGAATCCCATAAAAACACTAAACTGAAAGCTTTATGTATATATATACATATATACGCATACATACATACATACACACACACACACACACACACACACACATATATATATGCACAACACACACATGCAGACAACCTGGTGCACTCTCATTCAGAAGCTCTGTTTGCTGCTTCATTCTCTGTGAATTCATGTAACATGGAGGGCCTGCTTGTTGGGGTTTTCTGTCCTGCCTGGTTCCCACAGCTGTTTAGCCCCAAAGAAAATCACACAGAGATCTCTATGTTATAAAGATGATTGGTCCATTGGGTCAGGCTACTTATTAGCTCTTGTAGCTTATATTAACCCATTATTCTGATCTATTTTAGCCATATGGCTCAGTACCTTTTCCAGTTGGCAGGTCACATCCTGTTTCCTCAGTGATCTGGACAGGAGTGGGAGGAATCAGCTTCCTCCTTCCCAGAATTCTCCTGTTCTCATTGCATCATCTCTACTTCCTGTCTGGTTTTCCCACCTATACTTCCTGCCTGGCCAAACAGCATTTATTTAAAACATGATTGACAGAATATAGACAATTCTCCCGCACCAAGTTCATATGAGCTTTGTTCAGTTGATTTAGGTGGACTTGTTCTCCTGGTGCCCTCTTCCCTCTGGTTCTTATACTCTTTTCTTTTCTTCCACGAAGTTCCCCAAGTTCTGAAAGAGGTGGTGATTTGATGGCGACATCCCATTTATAGTTGCATTTCCAAATTAGGCTTCTCTCTCTCTCTCTCTCTCTCTCTCTCTCTCTCTCTCTCTCTGTCTCTGTCTCTGTCTCTGTCTCTCTCTCTCTCTCTCTCATATCTGTCTATGGGTCTCTGTCAAATTTGATTTGAAAAATAAATCAAACTTCAGTTACAAAAAAAAAAAAAACCCTGTTACCTAATTAGAAACTAGCTTTTGAAAAATCACTACAAAGTATAGGCAAAATTAAGAAGTATTCCATAATGCAAAACATGAAGTCCACATATCTTCCTGTGCAATCACAGCACTGCACATGCCCAAGGAGATGGAGGCCACCTCCAGGAGAGTGGTGCTGGGGGCGCAGAAAGAAGGAAGGATGGGGTGAGAACAACACAGAGCTCTGGCTGGTACTTTACTTGGCTAGTGGGTCTCCTGGCATCCCATACTAGTGCTCCCAAACTAGTTTGACTTAAAGACACATTAACAAGTGAAACGACGTATCTCTGGCTCAGTGAGTGAGCAGCGAGGAAACTTGACAGTTAGTGCAGCCAGTGAGGTAGCGGCTCCAGGACTCTGTCCTGCAGCAGCACAGGCTTAGCACCCCAGGACCCCCCACCCCATTGCCCTGTGCATGCAGCTGAGAAGCCCTGCTCTCTATGGTTTTGGATACTTTTGTGTGCCTCTGCCTGGCTGAAAAGCTGACTGGAAGAGAACCCATATCCCTCACAGTCCTCAGTAAAAAAATTCTCAAGAGAAGTAGGTGAGACAGAAGCAGGATAGTAATACGATTTCTTCCCGAGCATGATGAAGCTGGAAGTGTCATTTGTGCAGAGTTTTGCCCAAACTGATGGGAAAGAGCCACCCTACTGTGTAACATATGATAGCACAGCAGGACACAGGGTAGGCACTCTTCTGAAAAGCCTGGCATGTGAAGACTTGGAGCGAGCTCTGTTTTTCTAATACATGTTTCACTCATTTCTTAAGTGGGCCTCTTTTCCGCCAAGAAACCAAACACAGTGCATCATGCTCATGATATGGGGAAATTTAATTAGAATGTGTGCTGATTGGATACTGGCTCAGTTCTTCTAAGCTCCAGCTGCCATGCCATAATACTTCGCTTACCATTCTTTTTCTTGACTTCTACTTCAGCACCTATATCACTATAACATAGATGAACAATATACATTCTATACCTCAGAATGTCATCCTTCAAGAAATGAAATAGACGATAATATCCACGTATATAAATATATGTAGAACATGTATAAATAAAACAGAATAGAATATCCATATATATAAATATATGTAGAACATACACAGAAATAGAAAGAGAGTGGGGAGAAATGAAGGCAGATACAGAGAGACAAAGACACACAGAGTTTTACAAAATACAGGAAATAAAATTGGAATATAGCCTTATGGTTGTGTTCTATTCCCGTGTCACTTGGTGCTATCACACATTAACACAGCAAGGAAAGAAAATGTACTGCAGAAACATAAATAGCCCAGAGGAATGAAGAGCCACAGGCTCAGAGAACACTTTTATTAAGTGTGGGAAGCAGCAATGGGGTTTGCTGTGAACCAGACCAGAGTAATTGAGGACAGCGCAGGAGAGGTGACAATCCTCAGATCTGCAGTGTGTGTTTCAATCTGTACAGTGAGATTAATCTCCTAATTCCAAGATTATTTTCTTTAATACAAACCCTATAATCATTTCTGCTCTGACAAGTTACCCATGCTACTGGAAAACGTTGACATCATGTACGGTTCTACAACCATGTCGGGCTCGTGAAAGCTGAGCTGAAGAGAAACATTAACAGGACTCCTCTTTGTGATGAGACCTCCCAAAAGCATCAACTAAATTCCAGAGGGAACAAAGGAGACAACACGTATACTCCTTCTATTTCAAACATATACAAGTTCAGTTCTCTGCCAAACCAAGGACCCAAGTCAAATTTGTATTTCTCTTCTCACTTAAAGTTGGTTCCTTGTATTTTCTATTTCAGAGAGCAGGAGCTTAGGGTGGAACTATTCCTCAATTGTACCTCCAGAATAATCTCTCTTTCCTCCATACGTGCATCCAAGGAAGTAGTTTACACACAAGGATATATTATGCCGTTTCGAGAGATGATGCTTGCTTTAAATAGGAACAAGCAGGAGAAGACCACAGGGTGAGAGTTTTTTCCTTCGAGCACGGGCCACCAAAGATGGAAGAGGACTTCCTCAAAGAGAACAGGATCTTCTAGTGGGTCGTATTCTCCTTTTCATTTAACTCTAGGAATTTTTGCAATTCCTCTCTGATTTTTTAATCAAAGAAAGTAAGAAGTACAACCTGGAATAGGAAAGCCTGCTTTGCAGATGTCAGTAACTTGCAGGAGACTGTGGCATCTTCCACCTCCTGTAACTTCTGATGCACTGAACAGAAAAGAATTAAAAGCACTAAATTAGATCATTGCAACATTGGGATGCTGAAGTTTACATTACTTGGTAGAACTAAAACATGATTGTTGAAAGAGCTACATGCCTAGGTCTTTTCTGTTTTGTTGGTGGTGGTTTGGTTTGGGTTGGGTTGGGTTGAGTTTTGTTTTATTCTGTTTTGTTTTAGCCAATGTATGGAAAGCTAGGAACATCTTCCTGTACAAAATTTTTACTCTGCTATTGTATACCCCAAGTGTTAGGTGACAAAAAGACATCTCTGGATAGGACACTGTTCACATTCTCACATTTACCTAAGGTCTTGAGGTGAATCACTAGGTTTCTTAATTTGAGATCTCTCTACTTAAAAAAAAGAGTCCTTATGAGCTATAAACTTTCCTCTTAGGACTCTTTGGCAGAGTCCAGAATGCTCTAGTGGGTTGCATTCTCGTCTTCATTTGACTCTAGGGATTTCCACATTTCCTCTCTAATTGTTCATTCAGAAGTGTATTGTTTCCCCACACCTAAGGCTCAGGGAACACTGCAGGAGAGGGGACAGGAAGTGTGCAGGAGCCAGAGGATAGGGGAGTTTACTGTGAGACTGTGTCTCCTATTAATGTCTGAAGCTACACCCATGAAGTCTCACAACATGAGCACAAACATGAGCTGAACAAAGACAACAACAGTAGACATGCTAAAGTGGACAGGAGAATTAGCATGAGGTCTCAACCCTGTACCTGGGTGTAGACAACAAGGGATGCTGTGATTGGGAGAAACAGTCTTCTCCAGGAAAGAGCACACCAATTGATTGTCCAATATCAAATGGTCAGCCCAGAAAACATGCATATAAGTAAAATTACACAGACTAAGGCGATTAAAATTAGGAATACACACACACACACACACACACACACACACACACACACACACGCAACAACAATTAATTTAAAAAGAGGTCATAAGTTTGAAAGAGAGTGAAGACAGATATGCAGAAGAGTTTGAAGTGAAGAAATCAGTGGGGAATGATGTAATTCCATAATAATTTCAAAAAAAGAAAAGATGATTTTTTAAGTTTATTGTTTGATCTCCAAGTACTTTTGTAGTTTTTATAGCTTATCATGTTGCTAATTTCTACTTCTCATATTTTATTTTGTTTTCTGACTACTTCTGTATTTGCTAAGGCTTCTTTTGTGGCCTATGACATGATCAGCTTTGGAGAAGATCCCATGTACCCCTGAGAATATGTATTCACTAGCTGTTCGGTGAAATATTCTGTACATATCTAGTAAGATAAGTTGATTGATAGTGTATTTTGTTTTGAAATTCTTTTGTTTCTTTTTAGTTTGGAAGACCTATCAAAACATGGGAATAGGATTGTGGTTTTGGCTTTGGGGGGGGGTTAATATCTCTTTTATGAAATTAAAGGCTTCACTAGTACATAAGTATTTACAATTGTTACATCTTCCTTATGAATTGCTTCCTTTATTAATATATTGTGCCCAACTTTATCTCTTCTGATTAGTGCTGGTTTGGGCTAGTTCTTGTATTTTAATCTGGTTGGTTCAACTACAACTTCTTATTGGTGAGTAAAAGCAATTTACATTTAATGTCATCATTGAAAGGGGTTTGCTCTTTGTGATGTGATCAACTATGTTCCAGTTTGCTGGTTGCTGATATTTCCTTTCCTTCTTCTCCCTTATTCACTATGTTAGAGATGGTTGATTCTTTCCTGGCTTTTCTTTGCTCGTCTGCTCCCATAATTGAGTGGTCACTTCCTTGTGTTCTTATGGAGGAGATTCTCTTTCTTCTTCCTTGTTGTGTAATATTCTTTTTAAATCTCTCCCAGTGCTGGCTTGATTGTTATAACTTTTAGTTACTTTACTAAATTTGCTTATCAAATCTGAGTCTTTGAGAGGAGTTTTTTAGGTTTTTGAAGTACATTGTTAGGTTTTAATATGTCTATCAAAGATTCATGTTTTGAGGATATAGAACCCAGTTCTTGGGACTATTGTGAGAGGGTGCTAGAAACTTTAGGAGGTAGACATTGTTGAAGTGAGTCAGTTATGGGGGGCATGTTATGAGGTCCATATCTTCTCCTAAATGTATCTTTCTCCCTCTATCTCAGAAGAAGAAGTAGAAGAGAAACAGAAGGAGGAGGAGGAGGAGGAGGAGGAGGAGGAGGAGGAGAAGAAGAAGAAGAAGAAGAGGAAGAGGAAGAGGAAGAGGAAGAGGAAGAGGAAGAGGAAGAAGATCACTGCCAGGAAGTATAGACA